ACAGTGAACAAAAACTATTTGTGCGCGTGCAAGAACCTCACTGAATGAAACCTGCGAAGTAAACAGGGACTTCTCGTGTGCACCTTGCAGGTGATTTGAGCATCCTGTAGCCCTTCAGTCAGTTTTTAGCATCCCCCAATCTGCATTGGGGCGCGCCAATAGTACAGCGGAAAGAGAACATCCGAGCTGAATCCTATTTTTTCCTCGCATTCTCACACCTTCATAATCCGAATTTTGCTCTAGATGTTGCTCTTCAACAAATTTCTCGTACATATTGGAGAGTACCTTTTTCTCTTACTTTTTTCCTACTGCTTTTGAAGGGTTACCACCTGACTTTCTTTCATTACCCACTACGACTTTGTCATTCATCTTCGCGACATTCTAAAACTTGTTGAGACAGTAACACGCTGCAAAGGATAACGCTGCCCCCGCTCCTGTCCCCCTCCTTCTCTCCCATCTCGTTGCGCGAAAGAAACTATTTGATGTGCCCTTGCAGAAATAGATAATATTGTAAAATGCATATTTTTTATGAAAACGTGTGAAACAAAAAGCGATGTAGGATTGGTATAAATTCCGCTAAGCGAGCAAATTCTAAACTAGGAAAGACCAAAACCTATAGAAATTGGACGAAACTGAGCGCCCCTACCAATTGTGGAATCCCAAAATGTAAAAAATAGGTTGTTGCAGCAGCAGTCTTCAAATGCTCCTAGAAATGCGGCAAACGTCGAAATGAAACGAGAACGAATTTACTATATCGATCAAAGAGCTCATAAATCGGTAATGTGAGTGCAATTATCGTATGATGGCTGAGTGCCACAAAATGCAGTGCAGTCACTCATCAGATGAGGAAGGGCATTAGGAAGCATTCATAAGACAATCACTGATCTCAGCTCGCACCTGCGCTACGACAGCAATACTAAATGCTTCCAGCCTTACTTCCTATATCATCTCTTTTTCATCTCGCACTCACCCATCATTCTCAAACGGTGGCGGCTCAGTTTTTATGCTGGAAATTTTTACATGACTGCCTGACAACGATACAATGTATTCTTCCCCTTATAATCCATGGGGCACTCACAGTAGTGTTTGAACGGCGGAACCACTAACGACCCGCTGCTACAATGAGCAACACATTATCAGTATGTTATGATCAATTTCAATTCTCAAAGCAATAAGCACACACAAATATCCTTAACAAACGACAAATAAAGAACTGAAAAAAAAAAAACATGTGCAACAAGTATGTCTGTATATATGTATGTGTGTGTATGTATGCATGTGTGTGTATGTATGTATGTATGTATGTACGACAAATAACGAGGATCTCAAGAAATGATACCTAAGGGAAAATTTTTAGAAAAGATGTAAGAAAAAGCAAAGGGAGCACGGTACGAAGCAATCAATAACAAACAATATGAATGTACAGTGCAGCAGTAACACTCCGGCTTGACAGAACAAAAAAATTTTTTCAAATTATAAACTTCTCTAATACTTTGTTAGAGCAGCGCGCTTTTGAAGCAATACCGTAACTCAGCTAAACTCTAATCTGCACATACAGGAACAACAAAGAAAAAAAAAACAGCTACTTCTGGAACAAGCCAAAGTGGTCCCGTACCGTACACTCTCCCCCTCCCTCCCTCCCCCGCAGACCTTACTGTCATCGAAACAATATAACAGATGTATGCCGTCTTTCAAAGACGTTTAAAACTGAGCCTTCCACGAACACCCATGTGACGTAAGTTCCAGAACATTTGTCTGTCCAAAGCGGAAATAACACAGAGAAGAAAACAATGTCAATCTGAGAGCCGAAAAAGGAAATGCCTCCAAGGA